CTCTCTCTCTCTCTCTCTCTCTCTCTCTCTCTCTCTCTCTCTCTGTGTGTGTGTGTGTGTGTGTGTGTGTGTGTGTGTGTGTGTGTGGTTTTGGTTTTGGTTTGGTTTTGGTTTTTCAAGACAGGGTCTCTATAGCCCTGGCTGCCTTGGAACTCTCTCTGTAGACCAGGCTGGCCTCGAACAATGCACTCTGCCTGTCACTGAGTGCTGGGATTAAAGGTGTATCTGGCTCAGGCCAGGTCTTTACCCTCATGGAGTCTACATTTTAATGGAGATGGGAGATGATGAACAAGGAACAAACAAATGAAAAATACAACCCAAAGCAGGCTGGCAAGTAAAGCTGTAATGAAACTACCATGCTTAGCTAAGGCAGCTGGCAAAGACTTCTCAGCAACAGCATTTATTTAAAAAGCAACACTTCAGGTTGTCTAGCCATCTAGACACAGGAAGGGAAGAAGCCTGAATAGAGTGGTGGGCATAAAAGGAGAAGAGACAGTGTCCGTATCTCATAGGACCCTACAGTAAGAAGGACGGAAATTCAGTTCTAGGGGTGACAGAAGCAGTATGTTTCTTAAATGCCCTTTCACGATGGCAAGAGGGAGAATGGAGAGGAGGGTAGAGAGCAGAAGAGAAAGGAAAGATCTCTAGGCCCCCAACCCCAGGAAAGAAAATAGAGAAAACCATGCACAGCCATGCCTGGCCTCAGAAAAGGATTCTAAGGACTGCCTCTGGACCAAATAATCACTGTCACACTGATATCGAGACTGCCAGGCAGTGGGCGACACCAATGTACTTGTGTACAGCACCTAATGTGTGCCAAGCTCTGAGCCGAGTATCCAAGCATGACCTGGAATTCTGAGAGCCAGGGGAGACACCAGAGCTTCTACCGGTGTTCTCGAGCCCTGGGCAGAGGTTAGTGCCTCCCTGCCACCACAAAGCCACAGGCCTCATGACAACCTTCAGGAAGTTTGATATACAGAAGAATTAGCTCAGTCTGAGGATCCTGCTTACCCTCTTCTAGTAACCTCTGAGTCCGGGTTCAGATTGGAAACTTGGGAAGTAAAGAGAGGGAGAAGGAACAGGCAGGAATCGGAGTTCACTGGTCAGTTTATGGCTCAGTCTGGGACTTACATGACCAATTGGACATGTGATTCTTAATGGTCCCCTTTTCTCATTTGTGTGTGCCTATACCCACACTCCATGTTTCATCCCTTGCTCTCCCTACAGTTCCCTGAAGATCTGCAAAGGTAAGATCCAGAATGGGGAAAACATCACAAATCTACTGGGCAGACTACACTGGGCTGCTACACAGAGAGCAAACTGGTGTCCCCAGACCTCTAAAGAGGGGGTCTCTCAACAGTGACATAGGAGTACCAGTCCTCTGCATCACGGCTAATGTTTGTGAGCTAATCAGAGCTCTGAAGTGGACAGGGGTCATTAGAATCATTGTCACAAAGAGAGACAGACAAGATAGACTCTAGAGGGTAGGGAAGAATTCAGAACTTATTCCAAAGCATAAGACCTATAATTATGGTCTAGGACTTGGCTCTGTGGCTTTGAGCGGGGCTGCTTAACCTCTTTGAGATCCGATTTCTCCATCTGTGAAATAGAAGTAAAATTAACCTCATGGGTTTGTGTTGAGAACTTCGTAAAGACCAAGGATACAAAAAAGTCATCCGATACATGCAATAAGTGTCCAACAAATGGGAGCAACGGTAGCTGTCACCACCTTACTTCACATCCTTGGGGTGACTGATGACTGTTAGTAATGTGTTGGTGCGGGGAGTCGAGCTGTGGATGAGACACACAGAACTGTGTGAAGATCTCAGTGTTGGGTGGACACAACTTTACTGTTCCCTGACAGCTTTCTGACAGGCAGAAAAAGAGGAGTGAGAAGCACCTACCACAGAACCTACCAGGAACTGGAGAACTCACTATTATCCAGAAGCACCCACCACCCTTCCTCTTGGTTCTATATGTCTGTATTCTGGGTTGTTGTGGTTCCTGGTGTCTCTTCTGTGTTGTCAGAACCTGTCCCTTCCTCTCTAGAATCTTCTCTAGAAGTTCAAGTTCCACACATACACCCTCTATAGGCTTGGTTTTCAGCTCTCTACAAGCCTCAACACACTTCTTACTGAGGCCCCAGACAGACAGCAGCACTGAGAATCCCCCACCTTTGGCCAGCGTCTCAGCCTGCAGAGAGCACCCTCCCGCCCGCCCGGATACCATCAAGTCAACTTGGGGAGTAGGTGGGGCTCTAAATTTCCACTCATCCAAGGCAAAGAATATTCAGAGAGTTCTCAAAAGTGCTGACTCCCCCTGGTTATATATTCCATGGCACTGTAAGCCATGCTTGGTCTTAGCCCAGACTGTGGAAGAGAGGCAGAGGGCTCTCATAATAGTGACACCTGGGGGAAAAAACTCTTAATGGGCACAAGTGTAGTCAGAAATTCCAAAGTGGATTCAAGATGCAGTTCAGGGACTTTCTGTGGGTCAGGCATTGGCACTGGGGGCATGAAGTGATTCTCCCCTTCCTGGATCCTTGACAACATGCAGGGATCGAGCCTAGAGTGGGAACTACATGTGGCTGACTCTACAGGTGTGGCTTACCTGCCAGTCCTAATTCATCTCCATGGTGAAGAGTTCGGGCAGTTTGGGGTTCCAAGCTGGCATTTTCAACTCTATGAGGTCCCTCTCCCCCACCTTCCCGCACTGCCTCCGAGCTTTTCACTACAGATGGCTCTAACCAGGCCAGGGATGGGTGCAGACTCACCATCAGTAATCTCCATCTCATATGGGGAGGGCCTCCTCTTCACCCGGTTGTTGTTGGTGAACATGGGGAAGGCATCCGGTTCCCCGAAGAACCCACTGTGGAAAGAGAAGGTAGATCACAATGAGGTAAAATACAAAAGGCTCCTTAGATGGATTCTCCCTGCATGTCTCCAGTCCCCTCCCGCTAAGGTGCCCTGATCCTTCACACTTAAAATGCAGATTGAATTGAGTATACGTGTATTCACAGAAGCGAAGAGGGTAAACATATGGAACAGAACAAATGTGGGGGGCGGGGAGGCGTATTCCTTTGCTCAAGTACACACACACACAAACACAAACACACGCTCCCCTCACATCCAGATACAATCATTCAATCCCCTCACACCCAGATACAATCATTCAATCCTGGTAGACTTTGTTCAGGGACAAGTTCTTACACAGGCCAGCATGGTGATGGCAGTGATAGTGGGCGACTCCCACACCACAAAGGGTCCCCTCCCACAGACCTCACCCACCATCACTCTCTGATCACAGATCGAAACCCCCTCCCCTACTCACCAACCCTTCACAGCGCTCCCCTGCTGCTCTCCCATCCCGTTGTCCTAGAATTCTTTCCTAAGCCGGTCCAACACTTTGCCGGCCTCTCAGCTTCCCTCACCCCCGGGGCCCAGCAAAGAGACCGACATTCTCACACCAGTTATACCGGCCTGGACCCACCCACGCAGATAAGGGATAGAAGGCCTAGGAGCGGATGACAGTGTTGCTCACCGCATCCTAGCAGAGGCTGAGAAGAGCTGCCTTCAGAACCTTCTCTCCAGCCTGTCCACCCACCGCTGCAGCTTCCAGAGGAATTCACCCTTTGTGGCGAACCTCACTTCTGCTGCAGAGGGGTATTCAGACACTGGCCCAGAACTCATATTCAAAGAATCCCTCCTACCCAACAGTAGTTAGCAATCTCCGCATCTTTTTACACCCACTCACATGCCTGCATCCTTGAAAGTGCAGGCTACCAGCCCCCCCAGCCCGACCCCCCTCCCCCGGTTTCGACACAACTGTCGCTCCCTAAGTACCACCGGTCCTTCCTGACAGTCTGTCTCACAGGGGTTCCTTTTCACACTAGCGGGAGGAGTGAGGGGACTCTAGGCTCTGGTCTCGTCCGGGAGTCTTAAGCCATCGCCCCTCCTCTCGATCCTCGTCTGCACCCAGAACGCAGCAGGGGACCGGGATGCTCACCTGCCTAGTGAGGCGAGCGGCTGGCTAAGGCTATAGAGCAGCGCTCGGCCGGGGCCGGCGGGGGCTGCCAGCGCGGGCGGGCTCAGCTGCACCATGCGGCCGTCTCCGGGCAGCTCTGCAGGAGCTGAGGCAGGCGCGGGCGCCGGGGCGGGTCCGGGAGGTCTGCACAGCTCGGTGGTGGGCACCCGATGGCGAGCTTCGGCTGCTACCGAGTCGCGGCCCTTTAAGTCCCTCGCGGCACCGCCCCCACCGGTGGGGCCGCCCCCAGCGCCGCTGCGCGAGCCTAGCTCGATGACAGGGGGCTCAGCCGGGGCTGCGCGGCTCGTCTCCTTGGCGACGCCGTTGAGCAGGACTAGGTGCGGGGGGGCCATGCGGGCCTCGGCCGCGTCCTGTCCCTCTAGTTGCGGGTCACTGCGTGCCGCCTCGCTCGGCGGCCGCTCCGTCATCCTGTAACAGGGCAGAGAGGAGATCACCCACTGAAACCTGAAAAGCGGACAAACTCAGCGCCACGTGGGCGCACACCCCAACCCGGCTGGCGTGAAGGGCCTGCAGGCCTGGGGCTGGAGCACCCGTCTCTAGATTGGGACAAAAGGGTGGGCCAAGCCCGGGAGGCACAGTGTCCAAGGGTAGGTAGGAATAGAGCTGGAGAAAGATGGCAGAAACATTGGAAGAAAAGGAATGCAGCCAGCGAAACAAAAATCGAAGGGAAAAAGAAGGAAGGAAATGCACAGAGAAAGAAAGATCACCCAGTCCCTCCTTCTTAGGCCACAGGGGAAGGGGAGGGAACAAATCCCCCGAGCAAGCTTGTCCTTCCCGCCCCACTTTTGGTTTTGGCGGGGAATCTGTCCAGTGCTATAGGAACCTCTCCCAATCTATTGCTAAACACATGCGCCGCAAATATACACCCAGAAACACTGTAGTGGTGAAGTAGGGTGTGGAAGCTTGCAAGAACTGTGCTTTGTTCAGCTACAGATGTCAGAAAGATTCCAGAAGGACCCGTCACTTTCTGACAATATTCTCCCGGCCAAGAGGAAAGTTGCCTACACTAAGCAAATCCATCGTTGTATTCTGCAAGTAGCTACCCTATCATGAGAAACAAAGTCAAGGGATGAAGCCGATCCTGGATTCTGGCCCTACTACCCTTCACACCCCACCGCATTCTGCTCAGCTGTACTCAAAAGTAAGCTTAGGTCTGGAAAAGAAACCTGACTAAGACACTGGAAAGTACTGAAGTCACTAGACTCTGGGCTTCCCTCCTGATGGAGAAAATATAAAGAAGGCCCTTCCTTGAATTATTCCAGTGCCCCCTCCCCTCACCATACACCTCGGTATTCTCAATACAGGGAACTCGGATCGCACTGTTTTACTGTCTCACATAGACCCTGGAGCCCAGAAACTTCCTAGACTCCCACCATATTCCCAAGATGAGCATAGCCACTCCATTTCCCACCACTTTGCATCGCCTGGCTTTACTCAGACGACTCAGCAACAGGCCAGATACACAATCTGTTAGATTCCAAAGTTGGATGATACTTGTGAGTTGTTTTCATTTTAAAAATAAAAATACAATGAACTCACCATCTGTGGTGGCACATGCTTATAACAGCAGCCCTGAGAAGGGGGTTAAGGAATCCTGAATTTGAGGTTAGCCTAGGCTACACATGATTCTATCTCCTCAATATATACATTTGCATATGTATGTACATATATACACACAGACAGACACATATAGAACCACCTTAGCAGGCTTTATAAATTGTTCAAACTCAGATTTCTGCTCCCAGGATGAGATACTTAAATTATTTTGTTGCGTTTTAATTTTTATTACTTTACCATTTATTAATTTGTGTATGAGGGCACACATGCTACAGCCAGTAATGAAGAACTTAGAGGACAATTTTCAGGAAGTAGTGATTTCTTTTCACCTGGGTCCTGGGGATCAAACTCAAGCTGCCAGGATTGACAGCAACAGCCTAACCCACTGAGTCAGCTCACTGGCCCAAACTGGGGTGTTTTAAAACAGAAAATAAATACAAGAATGTCCAAGTCAGTTCCAAACAGGAGACCATCTAATCATTGACATCGGGGCACACATACAGCACCCCGTTTGGCCACTGTAATGCTCTGGACCACAGTTATCTGGGGAACGGATTCCCTCCTCTTAAGGTCTTAAGGAACTTCTTCAGCCTTCTCCAAATCCCAGGTCTATAGCCAGACACAAAATGGGGACCTAGGACTGCAATTCAGGCAACACTGGCTGTTCTGGGTTAGCCTAGTCAGGAAACAACAAATCTCCCAACACTTGTTACACACAAGCTGCAAAGCCAATATGGGTCTGTGATGCTTCATTGAAATTGAACTCACAATTAGAATGGAGACAAAAGGTCTATAGACAGAAAATGTCACAACGACCGGAAATGAACCATAAGTATAGTAGCCATCCTGGCTTTCCTCCCTGCTAGTGAAGTGCACCAGAAACAAACCAGCTCCTGGTGAAATATACAAGCCAGAGATGCTGTCCCCTACCATCTGTGTGCTTTCAATGACCAGTGCTTTAGTCCCAGCTTCTAAGTGACAAACATGCACTGCACTGAGCCCCAGCTTCCCTCTGACTCCCTGCTTAATTCTGCTGCAATGACGGAAGCAGCTTCCCAATGGCCAAAGGGGACACATATTCTAGATGAGTTGACCCTCCAGATGCTAGAAATATTCGAGTAGAATTCTCCATGCTCAGTTCCCGGACTTCAGGTAAACCCCCTAAGACCAGGATCATCCCCAGCAGCCTAAGGGTTAACACTAACAGCTTTTATGCAATTGTTTTTATTAAGAGAGAATGGAAAAGGGAGGGGGCTCAGGCTAGACTGGAGCACTGACCATTACAGACAGCTCTTTGTGCTGCAGAGACCCAGGTTGCATCTTCAACCTCATCTTCACCTTCCAGTAGCCCCGAAGCCAGCAAGTGACAATATTCGCCTGAACAAGGGGACCAGAAAGCTCCTTTCCGGGTGGCACTGCATCTTCTCCAGCAACTCCTAATGCCCCAAATCATAGCTCGGAGATATTTTGTTTTAATCTACTTATTTTTAAAAGAAATAGCGTCGGCCTTAGACTTGGCTGGCCTCCCATCCCTCCACACTCATATGCGCAAAACACAGTGGAGAAACACAAAGACTGCACCAAAACCTAATCCGCCAGTGAACAACACACTATCTCTGCCACCACTCGAGTGGAGATGCGTTCCAGCACAGCTTCTTAGGCCTTAGGCCTTAGCGGGATGCCCTTGGCCGTTTTTCCTGCCTTGAGCTCCAAGCACAACCCACGCCACCCGGATACAGCCACAATAAAGTTACCGGCCTTGTGAAGTGTGCTCGGAACCGGGACCATGGGAGCGGCCTGGAGGACATAATCCAACCAGCGGGTTTTATCCAAGGCCGGAAAAAGGAAAGGGCCCTGCTGGAGGCCTGAGGCAGCTTAGTGGCAGTCTGATCGCCGGTTCTTAGTATAGGTTGGTTCCTCCACCCCCACCCCCGACAATCTTCTCAGTTCCGAGCCTCTCCACCCCAGTCCACAACCCAGAATACTGTTGTTTCGACAAACATTACCCCCTCCCACGCATCCCCAAGACTCCAGGCCGCAACTAACCTGGGGCATATTTAGAGAGACCGACCCGGCTGGTTAGGACCTCCACTCCTCCGCTGGAGAGGGGTCGAGGTAGGACCCTGGAGCTGTGTTTTTCCCGCTCTCGCTGAGAGACCAGCAGTTACTTAGCTTGCCGTGAGGTCCTGCGCGGTCTGCCGCGCCCAAAGCGAGTTTCCAGGAAAGATGGGGGTGGAGAGAAAGAGGGAGGGCGAGAGAGAAAATGGGGGGTCAATGGCTGGGAATTACCTCGTGTGCCCCGCCATCCCAAAGAATAGCAAACGGCCTTCCGCCTCCAACTTGCAGGTGTTTGGGGGCCCCCTCCCCCAAACACATCCCGATTAAAAAAAGAAGAAGAATGAACCCTACACCTGACCAATCAGGAATAACTACTTAGTCCAACAACAACAGCCTCCCCCGGCAGGCTGCCCAGAACATGTTCGAACCCTCTAACGAATCTGTCTAATTCAGTATGGCTGAATTTGTTTTCTAAGCATGGACGTCTCTATGCGGATGGCTCCACAACCTGAGCCCAGGTTCCAGTTGCCGCCAAAGCACGAAGGTGCAATTCCCTATCTGACACGGGTGGAAAGGACGGGATGGAAAAAAAAACAAGAGTCTTCAGGCCCTGGTTACTGGGTCAGAACCTGGGAGCTCTGGTCCCATTCTCTTCATGACCCCATCTATCAAGTTCCTGCCCAGAACGAAGGCAGAACCCGCTTCCAAAGGTCCTATTTCCCTGCATGGATGAAAGAGAAAGGGCTATAGCTGTTTTAGTTGGGTCCCTTGTTTTCTTTCTAATGGGTGAAGAGATATAAAGGAAGGCATTTCTACACCTTTTCCTCCACCACCTTAGCAAAAAGATTTTCAATTTTTCGGGGTTTTGATTGGCAGAAGGTGAGAGTAACTCTTATACTGTTTTGCAGCGATAAACAAAGCAAAAGGGAAGACGGGTGAAAGCAGACCTGATGCTTCCAAGAAAGGTAGCTGGATTTCGTTTGCTTTTATTTTTCGCCTCAGTTTTTTTTTTAAAAATTTGTTTTGCCTGAGATGTCCACCATCCAATGGCACATCGAAATCTTGGATTCATTGCGAAGGCTTCCTTCTCCCTGCTGCGGCTTTGGTGGAAGCTCAGAACTGCCACCTCCCTGGGTTTCAATTCAGTGCAGGAGGTTTTCTTTCTCCTTTCTAATTCAGAGAAGGAGGGAACACTCGTTCCCGGTGTTACCTGAGGTTAATGTTTGTTTTATGGAGTGAATCTCTATTCTGACTATCTCTTCATTTTCTTTCCCTACCACAAACCTGGCAAGTTAGAAAAAAAACAGCTAGGGAGGGGCATAATACAGGACTGCTTTGTTCTCCCTCCAAAGAAGCTAAAGGGTCGAGCTGGTGAGCTTTTTTGTTTGATTGTTTTAACTAAAAGCGGGTATTAATGGTGATGGTGATGGTGATGATGACGAAGGTATTAACAATCGCAGTAAAAGGGGAAAACGCGATTCTTTCTTGTCCAGCTAAGGTGGCCCTGAAGCGGTCTTTCCAACGTAAGTGGACTCCAAGGGCAGCTAACCCTGGATCCGACCCGACCGGGATGGGGGAGGGACTGAGAAAATGTCTCCTGGGACGATCCCGAGGACCCCCATCCCCACCCCTGGCACCAGACCTGGGAAGTGTGCCCATTGTCCTTCCCGGCCTCTCTCCCAACCGCCGCGGACGCACCCGCGAAACTGACCAGAAATAGGCGAAACCCGGGCGCAGCGAGAATCCAGGCCCGGCGCTGCGGGCGGGAAGACGCTGGCCTCAGCGAACGCTG